CGAACAGTGTTTCAGAAAGTGGATATTAATTTAGTGCAGCAGCACACAGATGTGAATAGAATTCAATAAGGGCAACATCTGGCCATTCAAATACGATTTATTACCAAATGCTTTTAGAAGTAAAAATATTTCCCTCTCCATATAACATAATGGAGTTTGTCTAACTGGATTACAGAGCTGCACGCTGCAGAACTGAGGAGGAGACAAATAGCTTTCCCTTTATAGAGACCATATCAATCACAGTTATTTTAAACATCGCTGTCATAAAGCCACAGCCAGAAACAAACACACGGGCAGCATTCACATCAGTGCTCTAAGAGACTTAAATCACAGCTTAATTGAATGAGTAAATCCTTATTCAAGTCAGCAGCAATGATTTCACTTCACTGGGAATTCAGGAGGGCAGAGTCACCTCTACAGGAATATGCACTGCTGGAGAGTGGGAAGAAAAACCCTTCTCATCAGTGCCTCTAAAAGCACGTGTCACTCTTTCTATACCATATCAATGCTGCCCAAAAAGAGATGTGCAGCTCCATCACCATCCTGGAACCTGATGCTCTGCAGAGAAAGGAGTCGTACTGTAAGTTCTGCAGTGCACACAGCAAGCCTTCTTTTGGACCTCGATTACCTTCTGTTAAACATCCTTCCAAGTACATTTCACAGGGTTTCCCAAAGGAATGGGGGTGAATCTGTACCAAAGCCACAGCTCATGAACTGGCACTCGTAGGTACGGTTGCTTAAGGGAAGGAGAGGTTGGATTAAGGATGGCACGTGTTAAAGCTCGCCTGCAGGCAGAGATTGATTCCGTGGGACCAAACACGACCACAGCAGCGGTCAGCATCATCAGGCAGACACACTGATGCCTGGGGAAGGGATTTGGGTGTGCTGAAAGCAGAGCTGGGAGCAGCTTAGCTCCAGAATGAGGTGCCTCGCAAGCCAGAGCAGGCAACAGCAGCCAGAACACACAGCCCATGTGGGGCAGCTTTATACAGGATGTGTAAAGCTCTCTGCCTCCTCTCTGCATGCACACCTGTTTTTCAGCTCGGTTCTGCTGATTTGACACAGAACTTGCTGCTGATGCGTTCATCTCAGCCTGAGGAAGTGCCGGAAAAAACAAGAATGTTGACAACCAGAGGGGGCTGAAAGGGAATCTGGACACTGAAACCTGTGGAACACCTGGTGAATTGTTCATAAATCACGGCATATGTGACCGGCGATTCCTAATCAAGGGTAAAATCCTGCTTCACTGAATGAATGCTGCATTTACTGAATGACTGCTGCGTTAGACACGCTTCTGATAACGATCAGGTCAATGCAGAAGTCAAGAGATGGTATGCCACTCTAAAACAAAAGGTGACTGTAAGGAATGCACTCACACATTTTGTCTTACTTACATCTTTCCAGCTGCTGCTGTCATCTGTCTCCCAGGAGTTCCTGGCATGCCAGGGAAGCCCTCCTTTTGAGAAGTGAGCACTTTTATTTTCATTCCCTTCCAGCAGCTGTAGCAAATGTTTGGACATTTCTTCCCGCTGCAGATAGTCATCCAGCTGCTTGATATTTTCAGGTGAGGCTGAAAATGGGATCTTGTTTTCTTCTTCATAAGCATAAGGAAAATCCCCAGTGCTCTTTTTCCCCATTAAGTGTCCTGTAAGAACAAGGACTGTGGCATGAAATTCATCCAAACAGGCAAAACATGGCTTTAAGGGTTCAAACATCAGCTAGGAGTAGTGATGGTATGGAGGGAGGGGAGGGGAGGGAAAGGGAAAAGGAAGGGGAAAAGGAAAGGGAAGGGGAACGGAAGCAAGATTTTGAAACTGAAGCACAGCAGGGACTGAAGGCGCTGTCAGTGTTACACACAACTGATTTCTTACACGGGCAGTGGGGATGTTGCTACAAACCGGAGAGAGATAACCAAGCATTTTGCCGGAAATAGGGAGCAGCACCTGATTAGAATGGTGAAACAAGTTGTGAGTGAAGAAGCTGAAAGTTTAGACTTCCCATGCCTTGATGTCGGATGTAGGAACTCGTCCCGCACAGCCACAGCCCGCCCGGCGCTCCCGGGACGGAGCGGGGAAGGAGACCCGACGGCGGCGGCGGGCGGGCAGCACGGAGCCCCCGGAGCGGCGAACGGAGCGCGGGGGGCGGCACGGAGACTTACCCACAGCCCAGTGACTGCCGCGGGGGTAGATCTTGGTGAGCGCGGGGGAGCCGCCGGGTTGCAGCGGGGCCGCTCCGCCCTGCGCAGCCAGCAGAGCCAGCAGAGCCAGCAGCGGCAGCGCGCCGGGCCGCCGGGGGCCGCCGCCGCCCATCGTGCCGGTGCCGCTTCTCCTGCCCGTGCCGGTGCCGCTTCCCTGCCCGCGCCGCCGTCTAGCCGCACTCCGCTGCGGGCCGGCCCCAGCCCGGCTTCGCCCTCCGGCTCTGGCTGCCGCTGGGCCGAGAGCGCTGCTGACACGCCGCCGCTGACGACCCCCATTTATACGAAGCCGGGACCGGAGCTCCCGCGCCTGACGCCTCCTCACGGGGCCGGGGCTGCGGCCGCCCCCGGCCCCCCGTGCCTCCATCCTGCCTCCGGCGGGGGCGGGTGATGCCGCGGGCAGCCGGACCCCCCCGCCCTCCTCCCCGCCCCGGAGGGCTCTCGGAGGGGGGAGGCGTGGTCGGTTCCATCCCGGAGCTCAGCCCCGCCGCTGCCCCTATCCGCCGCACGTGCTCTCCGACGGCCGTCCCGGTGCCGCTCGTCCCGCTCCGCCGGGCCCTGGGGAGCCCGGTTGTCCCGGTGCCGCCGGCGCTCCGGGCTGTCCCCGTTCTCCGCGGGCAGCCAGGCCGTGGCAGCTCTCGCTCTGATGGAGACACCGCCCTACACGGCGCTCGGGGCCGTTTTCACCATTAGTTACGGTCGCGAATTAGAAACTTCCGAGGAGTGGGTTTTCCCCTCGGGTACATCCGGCGGGCTCGGGTCGGTCTGCGCGGGGCAGCAGCGGCGTGGGGGGCTTTGCCGCAGGGACCCGGAATAGGACACGGGGGTCAGGGGACATAGGCGAGGGAATGGCCATGGCACGGTGCGGTTTTACCGTCGGCCGTGCAGGTTCTCATGTCTGTGTCCTAATTTACGTGCTAAAGCAAAGTGCCGTCAACACGGCTTGGGGCAGGGAGCCGGGTGACATCTCCGCTGCAGGAACTCCTTTTTGGAAGAAGTTAAAAACAAAAATGTCTTATCTTCTTTACAGAAAGCATGACAAGTGTTCACAGAAGCAGTTTGCCTGTCTGGATGGAAATGCCTGAACAGGCTGAGAAGTTTTTGCAAGAGCTTAAGGGGGAAAAAAGTTGCTCCTGCACTTCTGAGGTGGAGAGATCACTAGAAAACGAGCAAACTCAAAGGACAACATGACTTCAAGCTCTGAGGCAGTTTCTTTTAATTTCCAGTTATCACCTGAAGTTGCTGTTGCAGGTATTTACAAATACAACTCGGGTTTGCATCACTTTCTCCTTGTGGTGTTCCAGCACTTCAGGGTACCCAGAGCTGGCCAGCTGTATTAATGAATGGAAAGCTGTTCCTCACTGGCACAGGTTGCCCAAGGAGGCTGTGGATGCCCCATCCCTGCAGGCATTCAGGGCCAGGCTGGATGTGGCTCTGGGCAGCCTGGGCTGCTGGTTGGTGACCTGCACGCAGCAGGGGGTTGGAACTGGATGAGCACTGTGCTCCTTTGCAACCCAGGCCATTCCGTGAGTCTATGATTCTGTGATTTCCACCCTGCTGAGAGCAAGGAGGAGAGGTGGGTGAGTCCCTGAAGTGGATGACAGAGGGCTGTAAAGGCCACCAAGAGCTGGAACACAAACGTGTGCTCCTCAAAGCGGCCTCAGTGGAGTGAAGGTGGATGCGTGGCAGAAGGATGTGCAGCCCTGACGTGCTGCTTGCCCCCAAGGGGAACGGGCAGAGGGGTGAAGTCGCATGGAATTGGTTGATGTGACAGTTCTGTGTCTGGAGAGACACGTCACGGTGTCAGAGATGGTGTTAACAGAGCTGGCTGCGAGGGATAGCCAGGTCCTTCAGCTGACCCCACAGAGCTGCACCCACAGTGCTTCCTGCTGGAAGCTACCAGGGATGTAAAGTAACGTAATTACTGGGCGGATTATCCAGCTCAAGCACTCCTGAAGTCAGTTGTGTACCGTACTGTATGAGCCAAATTGTTCCCTTGTTTAATCTCAGTTTATTGTGTCTCCTTTTACTGCTTCGTGTGATTCACTCTTTCATTTTTGTTATTCATTATGCGTTCTTGTTTAATTTACAATGGCATTTTCATGCCTCAGTCAGGAGTTTCACTGCGCAGCATCGCTACGTCGCCGTCCGTGGGACATCCCAATTGCTCATCACCATTCAAGCCAGGAAATGGAAAACTCAGGAAAAAAAATGTGCATTTTCAGATAAACAGCAACACCAAAGCAGAATGTTTGGCTTTCCTCAGCCACAGTGGCTGCACCTTTCTCAGATTTTGCCTGTGCATGACATGTCTGCGTCCATCCCACCTGATGAAGGATGCTCTCTCATGTTGGATCTCATCTCACACTGCCTCGGGTTGCTCTGCTTGGAGGCTGTTTCTGGAGCACTTCCACTTTTGTATCTTCTCTCTTCATCTTAATTTGTTTCCCTGCAGGTTACCATTGCAATTATGGTGAAAAGTAACAGTCTGCAGGGGGGGGATCAAAGTAGGGCTTGAGGTGATTATTATTTTTTAAATATATTTTTTATTTTTTAATTAACATTGGCTTTTTTAATCCCTTTTTTTTTTTTTTTGGGTGGAAGTGGGAGAAACACGTTTTCGGAGCATCGTCATGAAGCAAATACAGAAATCTGTTGAAGTCCCTCAGGCATTCAGCTGAGTCATTTGAAGCAAGCCACCAATAGAAACTCCACTTGAGGGGCTTGGGTCTTTTTGAAAGAGAAAACCAACAATTAGCCAAAATGGAAGCAACTCTGAAGGCCTGTCTGCCTTTTCTTAGGCTTACCTTTGCTCTTATGCTGACAGTCATCCTGAAAGTCAATGAGAACACATGCTCAGAGGGGGGAACTGAGTCCTATGGGGTGCCTTCTGCCCTAAAGAAGGAACCCAGTAACGTCGACAAGTATGCAAGCTTCAAGGAACAGCTCTCCTTGTTTGAAGACCCCTTTTTGCTCATCATGCATCTGTCCACATGTCAAAGTAAGTGACTGTGTGGAAAAGCATGGCTGCGTTTTAATGCTGCTCTCACAGCACTGCTGTTTATTTTGCTTCCTTCACATTTCAGGCAAACGCGGTCCATCAGCGAGTCGGATTTTATGGAAATAAAAGGGGGTGAAAGAAAAACGCTGCGCCTCTCACCGCCTTTTGTAGCAGTTCTGACGTTGCAGATAGCTCCGATGTGTGCACAGAGCAAACAGGGGTTTAAGTGCATCAGCAATGTAATAAGGGAGTGATCACCGGGGAGCGCTCTGCAAATGTTGGAGATGCTGAATGGTGCAGAGCGGGGCGGGGGGCAGCGCTGTGCAAACAGCCAGACCACAAAGCCATAGAATCTTCATGGGAAGGGACCCCTAAAGGCCATCAGGTCGCACTCCCTGCAGTGCACAGGGACACCCGCAGCTCCAGCAGTGCTCAGAGCCCATCCAGCCCGACCTCAGCTGTCTGCAGGGATGGGGCAACACCAACCTCTCTGCTCTTATTGTAAAGAGCTCCATCCTGTTGATGTTCTTGTGCAAGGAGCTTGGCAGAAGTGAACAACATGAAGTGAGGCGGAGTTTAAGAAATTCGGCACTGTTTGTGCTGCTGAAGGCTTGAACTGTAGGCCTTGAACCAACGTGGACTTCTGGATGAATCTCACAGCCCCTTATATATCATCAGTATCCAATCATTAACCAAATGGATATGACCATTAGCAAAAAACATATCTTGGATAAGGTGCCTCGTTAGCAAGAGATGTAGCTTACATGAAGCATTATGAAAATGTGTGGACCTTTCCTTGTTCAGAAGCATGGTGTCAAGGCTCACTAATACACAGACTCCATGGTTCCTCCCTGAGCCTTGGCCAGGCTGGAGGTGGAATCCAAAGAGGGAGAATTAAACCAGATGTTTCCATGCTTGAAGGTATGTAAGCTTGTCTGTTCAAAGGTAGAAAAGCTGGACTCTCCAGTAGTGAAGCTGGAGATCTCACCTGCCAGGACCTCCCAGCTCCCAGGAAGCAAACCCTCACTGCAACTGGGGCATCCAGTGGATGCAGGTCTGGATGATAGCAAAATACTGGGGCAATTGGTGATGTGTCTTTCCTAATCATTGTAGTTAATCCTAAGTAGTAAGGTTAGGGGCATTGCCTTGTTCTGTGCTATTCTTGCTCTATCATTTCATTTATTACCTCCTTTCTTTGAATGCAAGTGAAGATGAACTCACTATGTTAACTTGGTGTCTTGGGGATGGGGCTGACATCGCAGTCTGAGCTGCTTCTATAGAACTTCCTCAGCTGTGGCTGAGTTAGCAGAGCACCCAGCAGGTGACTCATCTGCTGGCTTGCATCTTAGTTTGGCTTAGTTTAGCTTGGCATCTTAGTTTGCAGGCTAAACCTGTGGGAAACAAGCTAGGAGGAAATAGGAAACTACGCTTTGTTTCCCAAGTGCCAACTTCCTTCCATGTATAGCTGCAGGTGCTGAGAAGCTAAAATGGAGGAAACTTCATTGCAGAAGGCTGGATTGCTACTAGGCAGTGAGCAGAGGTGATAAGAGGGGCAGAGCCAGGAAGCCCCAGGGCTGTCAATGGCCCCAGGGCTCCAGCCACAACGCACAGCAGCTGCAAAAAGGAGATGTTCCTTGGAAGCAGGAGCCAATGCAGCTCCTTGGGCCATGCTGCAGCTGCTGGCATTGGCATGCAGGATCCCACTCCCCAAATACAGTTTCCAGTTCAGCCGATGTGACCTTCACTGTCCTGCTTTCCTAACATCACCACGAATGGAATGGAGCTTTGTCTGTAGCAGCTTTGTTTGCCCAATTTGGATCCAGATGTATGTTCAGTTTTCAAATGGCTTCAGAATGGGGATGCTGCCCCCCTCCACATCAGATTTTCATATGCCTGCAGATGACACACGCACCCCATAAAGGCTTTCAGTTTTTGCTGATAGCATAGCTATGCATGGATGATAGAGAAGCAGAGTTGGTTCTGTACGAAAGCAAGGTGCTGGAGCATGAAAACGGTGACAGAAGAGGTAGAACAGACTGAATCAAGCCAAGCTATAGAGCAGGGAAACATTTAACTTTTCATCCTTTACATTTTGTTTGCTTTGGGCCCACGAG